GGACCATCCCCACCCACTGTATGCAGCAGCCCCTCGGCCAGCACTCGGGACAAACACATCGAGGGGCCCACCCTGGTTGAACAGGCCAGTGCAGGAGCCCATCCAGGCCATGGCAGCGGGGAATTCAGAGGACCCATGATCTAGAGCAATTCTGTGCAACAAGAAGTAAAACACAATTCACATACATAATTTTAAATTTTGTAGTAGCCATATTAAACAATTTAAAAACAGATAAAATGAGATTTCACGATACATTTTATTTAATTCAATATATCCAAAATATCAGTATTTCAAATACAGTTAAAATTTTTAAAAATTAATGATGAGATATTTACATTGTGTTTTTCGTATGAAGTCTTTGGAATCCAGTGTGTATTTTTACACTTACAGCGCATCTCAGTCCTGATTAACCGCATGTCCAGTGCTCAGTAGCCTAGTGGCTATGAAAGAGACACGGCAGGAAGCGTGTGGACGCAGGAAGGCCACGTGGCCGGCACCGTGGAAGACTGTGGCCTCTCACTGTCCATCCTTTCAGTTTCTCTCCTCTATTAGCTGCCTGCTGTCTTCCAAGTTAGATTTGTGATTCCGCATCTAATCCCAACTGATGAGAGCCCTCAGCTCCTTTGTCCAGTTTGTCACCCCAGCCTACCAACCCTTTGCTCTTCCCGAGGTCCCGAAGGGGCTGTTGGAGGGACCTGCACAACCATGGGAGTATGAAGTCCCCACCTCTGGAGGATGAGTGGGTGATGGGAACACTGTAGTAGGGAGGCCAGAGCTGGTGCTGTAACGGGTACAGGTACCATCTATGAAACTGCGTGCACCCAGGCAGTGCCTAACCCACCCGGGATCCTGGTGCACAGCCCGCAGGGAGACTCGGCCTCTCGGGTCTCAGCTATAGAGCACATCCCGTCGTAAATGAGGTTGTACTCACAGTACTGGACCTTGATACTTTTCCAGCTGCCACAACTGTTGAAGTGTTTCACGTGTGTTCGTTTACTTACTGTCACAGAAGTTCCGTTTCCCTTCCTACTTTAGAAGTGAGCAACCAAGCACAGAGAGGTTAAGGGCCTCGTTCTTAGTCATACAGCTGTTGGGGGAGGCTTGGGACTTAAATCCCGGATATTCAGACTGAAATAATGCCTGGTCTGACACTCCGTGGACCCCCAGGCACGTAGCAAGGACAAGCACCAGGCTGCTACTTGAACACCGGGGAAGACCAGGTGGGGGTGGGGGTGGGCCGTGGGCGGCGGAGTCACGGCTCCCGCTAAACCAGAGATGCGGACGTGGAGCTCATGGTCAGAGCAGGAACTGAAGTCACGCTTTCGGATTTGCAGCCGCGATTTGTAAGCACTTCCTGTTCCCACAACGTACAGGCCACTTCTCTTCGGTCTGGTTGAATGAGTGTTTGTGTATCTGCTCTGCTTCTTGAGGATCTGAAATTCTATTTCAAAACTTCCCAGAAGGAGCACTATGGAATTAACAATAAAAACATCCATCATCCACTTCTCTACAGTCAGAAGTCCTGCCTCCCTTTGGTTCTGGGCAAAGTGAGGGTTGTTCCTACGGTGGTGGAGACCGACTGGTGAACAATCATGCAGTCTATACCGAGAGCGGATGTCCGCACAGAAACGCACTAGGCAGACAAAAGGCAAGAGTATCCAACAAGGATTTATTATTATTTGGCCATTATTTGTCTGTGAAATATGTCTTAAGGCTTATTGGAGGAAATAGGTTTGTTTTTTTTTTAACTAGATGTGTTATTTAGGCTAGCTTCAAATCTGATCTGTTATTTCCTAGATCTATCCTAGGGGAAAGACCCAGTGGCTTCTAACTGCACAGAGATGAGCCGGTCATGGAGGATTTCTCCCGAGGAGGGGTAAGGACTCGATGGGGTGACGGAGACGTTGACTCTGGGATATGGCCCACCTGAGACTCAAACCCTGTTGAGCCCTCAGGGCGCGCACAGACGGGGGCCGTTAGCATCTGGCCCTTTACTAAACCCGTAACTTCCTGCACCCACACAGCTCAGCCATGCCCCATGACCCGTCTGCTGAAGCACAAGGCGGTCACGTTTTCCAACCACGTGCCTGTCTTTATTTGCACACCGGGAACTCAATCAACTGAGCACTCATGACATAGTCCAGAACACCAAATCCGGAGTCTAATCCCATTGTCATAAAACCATGTGGAGTAGATGTAGTCATTCCATAATCCGCACATTCACACGGCCTCGCCCTCAGTTACGGCACGGGGAGCCTGTCCAGCGCTGCCGGGGGGATGTGCTGGCCCATCTCTGTGCCCATCTCCAGCCTTCGATTCCTTAATCCCACCTCCCTGGGAAGAGAAAGAAGAAGGTGTTTCCCTTGGCGGTACAATCACTGATGAGTCTTTACGTGAAGAAGAGCTAAGGCTTTGGTGCCGGGGGCAGAAACACACCCAGCAGGAGCCTGGGTTTTACACCCGCTGAATGCCTGTTAGTGAACACGAAATCACAGTAATCAGAGTTGAGTCACGCTCGGCAAGGCCCTCGCTAGATGCCCTCCAGACTACCTGTCACCCACATTTCTTAGAGTAAAATTCAACTTCGTTCCTCTTCTGCGGTAACTCTGTGTACATAGCTGACTTCTGCTTTACTGAGGCTGTTGGTGTATTTCTCAGACAGGAGCTGCAATTAGGTTTGGATATAAACCTGAGCCAAGCCACCCAAGCAAGGAGTTCAAGTAAAAAGTGACAAAAACATAATTAGTCAATCATGTGAATTGATGTGCAGGTTGGAGTCACAAAATATCAGGTTATTTTTAAAAAGAGGGTTGGACAGCCGTGCACAGTAGGTGAATAAAGCCCCTGACCACAGGGAACACAGCTGGCGCTCAAGGGGTGAGGAGGGTGGAAAGTAATGTGTCTCTGGAATTGATTGGGCCAGTGAGTCTTTACCCAGCTGCTCCCTGGGGCCCTGGAGCCGTCATGTAATGTCCAGGCAGTCACCAAATTCAGACTAGCCACAGGTGCTTATGGTTTTATGTGGCACTGAGCAGTTTCAGTCCTTATCTGCAGCAGAGGACAGCAACTTCAGTGTGTCTTCCCATGGGTGGTGGTCCCCATGGCTGCTGGTCCCCATGGTCACTGGTCCCCATGTCTGCTGGTCCCCATGGGTGCTGGTCCCCATGGCTGCTGGTCCCCATGGTCACTGGCCCCCATGTCTGCTGGTCCCCATGGGTGGTGGTCCCCATGGGCAGTGGTCTCCATGGGCGGTGGTCCCCATGGCTGCTGGTCCCCATGGCTACTGGTCCCCATGTCTGCTGGTGGGTCCCCATGGGCGGTGGTCTCCATGGGCGGTGGTCCCCATGGCTGCTGGTCCCCATGGGTGGTGGTCCCCATGAGCGGTGGTCCCCATGGCTGCTGGTCCCCATGGTCACTGGTCCCCATGGGTGCTGGTCCTCATGGCTGCTGGTCCCCATGGCCACCATCCCAAGGACGATGGTGAGTTGGGGACTGGATAACATCATTTTCAGGCCAGGGCCAGTCGCATCCAGCCATCATTCTACTTGTGCGAGAATCAGACTGACTGCAAAGCCTCCCAGGCTCCTGGCTCAAACTCGGAAAGACCTTCGTATATGTTGTGTGTATATGTAGGCTCAGTGGCCTGGAGGAGGGGCTCGCTCCCAGGACCCGGGGGGTCCTGGGGGTGGAGGGCATGAGGGTCCTGGAGACTAGAAGGCCTCTGTCCTTTGCAGCTCTTTATCCTGCTGGAGACAGCTGTGCCCAAATGACACCTGGGAAATGCATCTGCCCGAAGTCGGACAGAAGTGGAGAGTGTTGTCGGGGGCGTGTTGTGTGTGTGCACTCGGCAGGGGAGGTGCTGGGAGTGTCTAGACCACAGCGTGGGCCACAGGAGGGGTGCGTACATCCTACATCCTCCGCAAGCTAAGGGCTTGGCTCCATGCACAGGGGAGGTCAGCGTCCATCCCGGGAAGTTAATGTTACACTATCTCACTCTGATGAGTTAGCTTCTTCCTCCCACAGTTAACCCAAGTTTTCCTCAGGTATCAGACCCTGACGGATAGGAAGGAAGAGAAACACAGCGAGCCCACCCACTGCATTTAGGGCTCATTTACTTTACAGAAGAGCACCTGGTGTATTGCCCACAGTGAGAAATATTCTGCCCTTTCTGTCTCCAGTCCTGCAAAACCTATTTCTGGAAAGCCTGCTGACTCTCGAGTGGGCATCTCGTGGTAACAGTGAATTAGGACGAGTTTTGTTACTGCATGATGGCTGAGCCAAGACAAACTGGACCGAGACGATACAGCCCTGGAACAGGCTGGAGCTTGTACGTCATTTGCAGTGTTAAAAGTGACTAATTTGGGAAAAAAGAAAACCAATTTACAGCATAAGCCAATTTTATTACAGAGATATGCTTTAAAGCAAATGCTTCACGAATAACCCGGACACTCGTGCTCCATGCTGCGTCTCTTGTGGCAGTCCACATACCTGACCTACCAGCCCGGAGCACGCGTTTTACCATCAAGGTCCCCTTCCAGGAGGGTGGAATATCATCCAGGAGATTCGGAACAAGACGACGAGGAGGGTCTTGGACAATGTGGGGGTTAGGGATACCCTAATCAAAATCTGCATCTCACTTTTGACTCCCCCTTCCCCAAAACTTAACTACTGATACCCTACCGTTGCCCGGAAGCCTTAGGATAGATCACATCTGCAGTCAGTTAACAGTCACGCAATGCAGTCAATTAACCACAGCAACGCATTGCAGTCAATTAACGATAACGCATTTTGTATGTTATACGTACTATATACTGTATGCTCCTAATGAAGTCCGCTAGAGAAGAGGAAACGTGGTTACGACAACCCTAAAGGAGGAAAATACGTTTACAGTCCCGCGGGTGTATTTACTGGAAGGCGGTACAGCCGGGCTGGGCGGGGCTGGGCGGGGCTGGGCCAGACACTGCGCATGAGCAGAGGCGCCCGCCCGGCCTGCCCGCACGTGTAGTGGTCGCCTGGCGGCGGCAGCCCGGGACACCCCGACCGGGGAGCCCCGGAGGACCCCCAGTCGGGGAGGACCCGGCCCCCAGCGTCTCCAGGCCTGACCTCCCCTGGGAACCGGCCCCTGCAGCCCAGGCCCCTCCTCCCCGGTGCGAAGGGTCAGCGCACAGGACCCCCCCGGCGCTCCCGCTCCCGGACTGGTAAGGTCTTGTGCCCGACGGAGTGGGGAGGGGGCGCGGTTGGGAACTAAGGCCTTGTGGCTTCTGCCGTCAGCACGTACAGAAAGAAAAGCGTAGAAGTGGACCCGTGCCGTTCAAACCCAGTCCTTCCAGGACCGCCTGTGTACCCCTGTCTGGCGACCCTCCGGGACGCCCCTCTGGTTCCAGGGGCCAGCCCTCCTGGAGGAGCGCGCCGGGGCATTCAGCAGTCTTGCTCAAACACCGGCCGTCACGCAGCAGGACGGTGCCTGACCCTCCAGTCTGCTCCTCGGACCCCACGCGCCGCGTAGTATTTATCCCTCGTTTGTCCTCTGCCCTTCTTTTGCTCTTGGCACAAAGCAGGCTCACGTCTGCCTCAGGGTCCTTGCACCTGCCGTTGCTCCGTGGAGCCCAGTCCCCTGGTTCTTCGCACTGCGGGTGGGTCCCGGACGAGCCACCCTGTCCCCTGCCCACCTGGTCTGTCACATCGCAGCCCCAGCACCCGTGCAGGGCCGTGCGCCCCAACGGTCCACCAGTGGATTGTGCGTTAGGAAACCTGGGCCGCCGTCCTGCTGATCAGCCGTGAGCCCTGAGAAAACGCACTTTGCCTGTTAGGGCAGCAGTCTTCCCTGGGAGGGATGGAGGGTGATTCCCCCACCACTCTGTGCGCCATCCGGAGGCCCCCTAAGGCACGTGTGGAGGGCGGGGCGTTGGTAAGAGGGGGCCTTGGTGGGAAGGCTCTGGGACCCTCCCACCCAGCGCCACCTCGGCAAGGCCCACACGGGCCTGAGAGACGCGGGAGGGAGGGGGCCGGCGTGGGTCGGGCGGCGAAGGGACGAGTCCACCCCCTGCCTCCAGCCTCCGTTGCCCCACCAGGGAGTCACAGGCCGGGAAGAGTCCAGCAGCTCTCCTGGCCTGGCCCCTCGGCCACCCCGGACCCGAACCGACGCTCAGTTCCACAGCTGGGTGACCCCGGGGAGCGGGGAGCCGAGCCGCTCTGTACGAAGGAAGGCTGCGTTTTGCTTCTGCAAGGGGGAAGGATGTTTGCGGGCAAACACAGAACATCGAGCCGGAGCGCCGTCCTCTGCCCGCGACTGCTGGCCCGGGTGTCTTCGCGTCCGCCCCACGGAGGCGGGTAGCGCGCCCCCCCCCCCCCCCCCCCCCGGGGCAGGGTCCGTTCACCAAGTCTGTTGGACCTTTCGACCTTCACAAGACTCCCGTTTCTGGAGAACACTTAGCACACAGCGAGCTGCGAACCGGCCGCGGGTCCGTCCTACGTCCCGCGTGTCGTCTGACTTTGGCGGTAGTTGTGTTCCTAAGCCCCCTTACCCTGGAGAAAACCGCAGCCCACACAGGTTATCGGCCCCCTGGCCAAGACGGGAGGGAGGACAGGCTGCCGACGGCGGCAAGGAAGCAAACGGTGGCGGAAAGGAAGTCTGAAAAGCAAAATGACCCCCAGGTGAATCCCCTCGGTGGCTGGTCCGGTGGACCCCGTGTCCGTGGACTAAGGGTCGTCCCGGGTTGTGAAAAACACCTGGGCTGTGCGTGGGGCCCTTCTGTAGACAGCAAGTCTCCGCGCACAGAGAAGACTGGGTTATTTTGACTCTCGCACATAGAACAGTCGGAAACGTTAAGTAAAAGCAACACGTTTTAGACGGATCTGGGGTTCACATGAAGATAAGGCCCTCGGGGGCTGTCTGTCCATTTGCGGGTCGAAGGTGGTGGAGTCCCGGTCCCAGCCTCGGCGCCACCTGGCCGGGCTGGAGGGACTCGGAACCGGCCTCTCGCCGCGAGACTGTGACTCCTTCCCGGGAGGTGACACTGCCGGGCTGGACGTGTCCACCTCAGGGACACTCACTTCGCGTGTCACTCGTGTTCGTAGAAGGCGGGCTTGGGGAGGGGCCAGAGGCATCCGTGCAGAACCAGTCAGAAACGGACAGAATCCAGGTCCTTTGCGAACCCAGGCGACCCTGCCCTGTGCGCTGGCCTTCACAACTAACAGCCGTGCTCTCGCTCCTTGCTGCATCCCCGCGGGGGACAAACCTTCTAAAAATGTCACAGAGAATGGAAAAGAGCGTTATCCGAGCCACGGTAGGGACAGGTGCCTGGGTTACACGGTTTTCACAACGGAGAGAGGCTCCCGGGAGGGGACATTTGGCACAGGGTTATGTATGGCTCTTACAGAAAGACTTACAAACCATCCTCACGAGGGACATTCCAGAAAGTTACACACTTTACGTTACGTTTTCAATACGTGCAAGTATGTTCAAGTGTAATCTTAAGGGAGCCAGGGAGGTTTTTGGTTTTTCTCACCTTTGTGTTTAGAATGCTGCTTTTTGGTTATTTTTTTTTTTAACAAATAATAATAATAATATTTTTTAAATAATAAAAAAGCAGATCTGCAATGTGTGCTCGGGGCAGAAACAGAGCCCGTGCCGTGAGGTTTCACGGAATCATTTTGACCTTGGTAAATGTTAAATGTTAACGTAAAAAATTGCAAAATGTCAAATGTTAACGTAGGGCTTCCGTGGGAGCCCAGGAGCAGGGCCACAGACGTCAAAAGTAGAAAATTTCCGGGCCGCCTGGGTGGCTCACTTAAGCGTCCGACCTCGGCTCAGGTCACGATCTCACGGTTTGTGAGTTCGAGCCCCGCATCAGGCTCGGTGCTTGGAGCCTGCTTCGGATTCTGTGTCTCCTTCTCTCTGTGCCCCTCCCCAACTTGTGCTCTGTCTCTCTGTGTCTCTCAACTAAATGTACAAAAAAAAATTTTTTTTTTAAAGTAGAAAATTTCCTTGATCAGTGTTTCCTTCGTGACAGGTTGGCCCACATCTAAAACAGGGGACGATCTGAGGGAAGGGAGAGGTTCCATGGAAGACCGTGGGTTCCTCCACAGTCTGACTCATCCCTCCCTCGTCCCGACCCGACCCCGCGCTCCGCCTTGACCATGGGAAAATGAAATCTTCGCTCCTTCCTTTTCGTTTCCTTCGAAAGGCAGCGTGTGTCTCACACGGGGTCCTTACCGGGAATGCAGATTGTGGGTGACACCCCAGGGGCTCGCGTCCAGCGGACGCCCACGGGCCTCACAGCAAGAGGCAACAACTCCTGCGGTGTGAGATGGGGCTTCCTGCCCCGAGGGTGCTTTCCTGGCCGGGCTTCCTTCCTCTGCCTTCTTTCCTCCGATGACATGGTAATCTCTGATGTCAGGACATGCTTATAGTCCTGAAGGTAGACCTCACATGTGCACACGTGTGCCGGAGGGGTCCCGATCGGCCAGAAGTCGGTAGAAACTGTTCCTTCGTGCTCGTCACGTGAATGTCAGGGCTGGGTGTGAATGAGACGGAAGTACCTTCTAGGTTGAAAGAACCTTTCAGAAAAATGGAGAAGGTTTTCCAAGTTTATATAGATTATTCAAAACACACTGGGGAAAAAACCCCCCATAAAACGGAATTTTAAAACCTTTGTTTTCTCAGGCATCGTTTTGCTCAGTTAATTCTACTTAGAACATGATCTAAAGAGGTGAAACGGTTGCTTCCTTCTACTTTAAAATGAGGGCCTATCCGTTGCTTTCTTTTATTAATAATTCACAGAAAAGCAAAATTTCAAATCAGCTCCAAGTTAGTCGGGAGTGCAAACACCAGAGGCCAAAGTCAGGCACTAGTCATAGCTTTTGTTCAGGGAGGAGAGGGGAGGGTCCGGGCACTTCCTCCTTCTTGAACGATGTGTCACTCCCTTGCTTAAAACCCACCGGTGGTTCCAGTCAGCTGTCGGGACTAGAGGCACACTCGCCCTCGTGGCTTACAAACAGGGTCTGACCCCGTGCACCTGCCGCCGTCTCTGGCTCCGTGCGCTCCATCCCCTAACGTCCCTCCCCCTTCCCAGCGCCCTAGTTGCTTCTCTGATTCTTGCTTGAGTTTCCTGAAGACTCCACACCTGTCCCTTACTTGCCATTCTTCCTGTCCCAGCTAACTCCCTCTTCAACCTCCAGATCTCACTTTATTCTTTTTTTTGTCAAAAGTTTTTAAATGTTTATTTCTGAGAGAGAGCAAGTGAGCAAGCATGAGCAGGGGAGGGGCAGAGAGAGAGGGAGACACAGCATCCGAAGCAGGTTCCAGGCTCCGAGGTGTCAGCACAGAGCCAGATGCGGGGCTGGAACCCATGAACCATGAGATCATGACCTGAGCCGAAGTCGGACACTCAACCGACTGAGCCCCCCAGGTGCCCCCGGATCTCACTTTCAATGTCACTTAATCTGGGAAGCCTCGGCTGACCTTAGGTCTGGGTTAAGGGTGTGACTCCTTTTTTCATTATAATTGCCTGTTTCCTGATTTTTTTTTTTGCATTTTTTTAAATTTAATTTTTTAAATTTACATCCAAATTAGTTAGCATATAGTGCAACCATGATTTCAGGAGTAGATTCCTTAATGCCCCTTCCCCATTTAGCCCATCCCCCCTCCCACACCCCCTCCAGTAAGCCTCTGTTCTCCGATTTATGAGTCTCTTATGCTTTGTCCCCCTCCCTGTTTTTATATTATTTTTGTTTCCCTTCCCTTATGTTCTTCTGTTCTGTGTCTCAAAGTCCTCATATAAGTGAAGTCATATGATATTTGTCTTTCTCTGACTAATTTCACTGAGCATAACACCCTCCAGTTCCATCCACGTAGTTGCAAATGGCAAGATTTCATTCTTTTTGATTGCTTGAGTAATACTCCATTGTATATATACCACACCTTCTTTATCCAGTCATCCATCGATGGACACTGGGCTCTTTCCGTACTTTGGCTCTTGTCGATAGTGCTGCTATAAACATGGGGGTGCCTGTGCCCCTTCGAAACAGCACACCTGTATCCCTTGGATACATGCCTAGTAGTGCAATTGCTGGGGCGTAGGGTAGTTCTATTTTTAGTTTTTTGAGGAACCTCCATACTGTTTTCCAGAGTGGCCACGCCAGCTTGCATTCCCATATAATTGCCTGTTTTCTATTCCGTATTCTCGGCTAAGATCAT